TTCAGTTTGAGATAAGCCACAGTCAAAACAGAACCAGACATGTGAGGGGTGAGGCCTAAAAGGGGATCGGGCAGGAAATAGATATCCAAAGACCATAATCAGAGTATTTAAGGAACTAATAGCCATCCAAGGCATCTTCCCTAAACAATTCTTGGAGCTACTAAACTTTCTCTTTATCTGAAGGGTCTAAGTTACTTTAGGGAACCCCAGGCATCTTTTTGTTTAGGGTACCCATGAGACCCTCGGGTATTATGATATGTATCTTCAGACTACCGATGCTCATTCCTACATAGATTGAATTTATAATGGTAAGGGGCATCTTTTTGTTTAGGGTACCCATGAGACCCTCAGGTATTATGATATATATATCTTCAGACTACCTATGCTCATTCCTACATAGATTGAATTTATAATGGTAAGAATGACTTTTGAAATACTATGAATAGGAAATTTTTATTTTATGAGTTGGTGATTTTCATTTAAACCAACTGGAAAGGGTGAACTAATCTGAAAAACACACACATGTGATGTACATCAATAATTTCAACAATTTCCACCACACTAGGTTTACAAGCCAAAAACGTCTCTAAGTCATGACAGCTTTACAGATTTTGTTCTTTACTAGCTGCTAAGATCCAGAAATAGTACATTTCTGTCCTCTGTTCCCCCAAATAACTGAAAAACAGTTCTTGTCCCAGCAGTTGGGGATGCAGTTGAATGATTCAAGGAATAAAGTGTCCGTAACTTATATACAATAAATTTCTTGGAATATCAACTGAATAGGAATTTGTATAATTAATCCAATGTGTAGCATACTATAAGTTTTGGTTAAATTCCAAGCATGCAAGCAATTCATGAGAACAAGAGAGATAAATGCTAAAGAACTTCAAGTGATCAGAAAGCCCAGAGTCCAATCAGTAGCAAGAAAAAACCAAAACAAACTACATTGAAATTAGTTTGTCCTCATAATACCACAGAAATTGTTAAACTGATTGCTGCCTAACTTAGCAAAATTCTGGGCACATACTACTATTAAATAAATATTTTTAAGTGAATGACTACATCAGTCAATAAATCTATCAGGTGGACTGAGTTTCAACAAATATATAACTTCCCTGGCATCTTCCACCTGCACCCTGATCCCAAGATCAAGAAGTCAGGTCATCCTGACCTCCATTTACTTATCTAAGAAAGTAACCTGGTTTAAAGGCCTTTTACATTCCCTCTTTGTTTCTCTCCAGATCCAGGTCCCTACAATGTGTGCTCCGACCAACTTCATTTCTTTCAGGCCCTCAAATGCACTGTGCTGTCTCACCTTTGAGCCATTTACTGTTCTCTGTCTGGAAAGTTCTATGCCTTTTCCACTTACATCTCAGTGTAGACTTCATTTCCTTTGGTCAGCCTTTCCTTCCAGTATTATCCCTCCCTACTCTTCCCACCTACCCAGGATGGCTAGGTGTCCTCTTATATATAACCTTATTTTATTTTCTTAAACTTGGTTGTCTCATTTTCTGTTTCCTATACTAAAATGGGCATGTTGGGAGGGTAGCAATTGTGTTTCTATCTCTTCAGCCTAGAACCATGCTGGGCACATAATTGGAGCTCTGTAAACATTTGCTGAATAAATGAGTGAATCAATAACAGAATAATATTAGCTTTTTATGAGAATGAAAATGAAATGGTCTTCTCATTCAGAATTGCAAATTATAAAATAAGTCATAGTTTAAAAGCTCGGCAAGGAGACTAGCACAGCTATTCTAATTCCCATTAATAAAATTTATATTTTCCCTATAATTTCACAGGCTACCAAGTAGGATGTCTAAACAACATTCAAAATCATTTTCCAAAAATTACAATTCCTGTCCCTGAGACATCAGTTTATTTTAAACATTTACTTGAATACAAACATAACCAAGCAAATTTTAAAAAAAAACAGAATTTCATGCCAGCCAGGAAATAGATCTTTATATCCAACCCCCCTTTTGGTTATAGAAACCCTGTAAGTATCATAATAGCCTGCCTGGGAGACTTTCCAATCATGTTAAATGAATGTATCTAACACTGACTTTTGGTTTTAGTTTCCTTTTTATTAATTCCACAATTCACATTAAGTAACCCATCTGAAAGCAATCCCATGAAATAAAATGTCTTTAGGGATCCAGTTTTAAACTGTCGGTGTTTGGGGGTGACTAATCAGAATTGTGATTTTAAAATACTGCCCCTAACAATTGACAATAGCTAAGGTCTGGAAACAGCCCAAATGCCCATCAGTAGATGAGTGGATAAAAAAGCTGTGGTACATTTATACCATGGAATACTATGCAGCAGTAAAAAAGAAGGATCTCTTAGCCTTTGAGACAGTGTGGAGGGACCTGGAGAGTATCATGCTAAGTGAAATAAATCAGTCAAAGAAAAGGCAAGTATCACATGATCTCACTCATATGTGGAATCCAAGTAACAAAATAAACTGATGAACTGAACCGAGTGGATCCAGAGATAGGGAAGCATGGACCAGAGTGTGGAATCTTGGAGGGAAGGCGTGGGAGGGTGAGTGGGTGGGAGGTAATCAACCAAATACTTTGTATGCATATACATAACCCATGGACACAGACAATAGAGTGTTGAAGGCCTGGGGGGAAGGGATGGACTGGAGAGGGTTAATGGGGGGAAAAAGGAGACATATGTAATACTTTAAACAATAAAGATTTAAAATAAATAAGTAAAATACTGTCCCTGCTCTTGCAAAATGTCACCACAAAAAGATTGTGAAAATTTAAAATCTCAGGGATTTCATTAGGGACTCTAAGGTTTAATTCAGCGACCTGACATTATTATTAGCTTAGCAGCTGCCTCTCCCAAGTCCCCACCATATAGGTTTTATTGGTATGGGGTGTGTGTGTGTGTGTGTGTGTATGTGTGTGTGTGTGTGTGTGTGTGTGTTTCAAACTGAAGAACTCTAAATTCTTTACGGAAATTGGATATTTTCAAGAAATAATTTTCTCAGCTCAATCAGTAATAGTTTTTCCCCACTTGCATGTGTGTGGTTGGAGCTGTGAGGGGCTGCAATCTGATGTAACCTTGAGTACCTTTAATTCTATACAGCCCACCCCCACTGGCAACTGAAATGGAACAAACTGGATGTCCAAGAGGCTGCAAGACCCCTGGCAGAGAGGCCCTCTGGGAGGCAGGGGAGACCAGCACCCAGGACCTGCTGCCCACCCCAACGTCTCTTCACAAGGGTTCTTTTCCCATTCCACATAGTCTAATGTTTCCTCAGAAGTTCCTCGGTGTAATCCATTCTGTTTGGTTTCTCTGCCTCCCTCCCCCCAATCATCTGGACCCAATTTACAAACCCCAAACTGCCCAAGAATTTATGCAGGGCCTTTTCTGGGAGCGTCTGAGAGGGAAGTGTAAACCAGACAAGACAGAGGCCAGGAGCAGAAGATCTGCTTTAATCCGCAAGGTTGGTCACAACTACCAAGGGAAATATTAGTCAGCCACTAGGCCTTGCTCAATGGCATGGGAAAGCCCTCGGGAGAGGGGGAGCTGGCAGGGAGGGCAAGGAGGGCACAGGAATGGACAGGGAAGCTTCGAGATGGAGGGCCTGACCCAGCAGCTCCTGGGCTCTGGACCTGCAGGAGCCTGAGCCTCATTCTGATTCCATGGGCCAGATCAGCTGGAGGAGGCGACTAACCCAAGGGCTCCGCCCCACACCCGGCCTCGGTTTCCCAGCGGATCTATGCAGAGGGGCTTTTATCCAGAAAAGGGACGGGAAACGTGCCTGGGCACCCGGTGGGACCTGCGTGAGCCTCTCTGGTCAGGCTGCTGGAAGAGCCTGATCTCTTCTTGGCTGCGGGTCTCCCGGCCCCGGCACCTCGCCGCACGCACGGGGTGGCGGAGGTTACTCCTCTCCAATCCATCTGCCCGCGGGCGCGTGGGGAGGCGCGTCCCTGTCTGTCTGGAAGCCGGAGGTCAGAGGACAGAGCGCGCCAGCCTCAGCCAGGCTCGGCGCACGCGGCTGGCAAGCACATGTTCATACAAACACTGCCACAAGGCGGGCTTTCTCCGCACCCCGCCTCCGCCTGCCCTCGGTAGCCACCGTCAGTTCCGCCCCCTGCCCTCCTCCCACCTACTCTCCTTCGGGGCAGCCTCCAGGTGGAGAAGACCAGCCACTTCGTCCCTTCCGCCCACGGGCCCAGAAACAAACTTGCAGAACCCACTGACCTCTTCCGGGGGGTCCAGCCCCGGCCGTGCACCCTCCTCCCCATCATCGCTCTCTTCCCGGCGAGGAGGTGGGAGCAGGTACAGCGCCCAAAGAGGAAGTGGGGTGGAGACAGGGTCCCCGTGAACAACTCCGGTGAGGAGCAGTCCCGCCCCCCTCCCTCCACG